CAAACAAGCAGATACACAACAATATTAAAGCAATATATAACTATCAATTAATAGAAACAACATCACCTATAAAATCTTTTGAGAGGGTTTTTTTTTCGTTTTAGAAGAGGCGGTTACCACAACAAGCATAAATACGGATAATTTCACTACTGCAGGAAAAAATCTCGAATGGCGATGACTTGGATTTTATGAAGTTTCTCTGATGTGTTACTCGACTGTAGTTCCTTGTATACTCTTCGAAAGGGTGCTTCGAATATGACTATTCAACTTTGAATTATACAGTTTCGAAGCTCTTCATTTTAATTAGATATCTTTTTAACTTCTGCCTTTGTACTTCCTTGTATACTACTGTAATAAATGGAATTTAGCATCAGTCTTCGTGTACAGCAATTATTTGCCGAAACCTTGAGAAAACAGATTTAAACTGTTATATACCAGGTTCTTAGATGTAGCGAGCAATGTCTACGTAATTATTAATTCAATTTCTTTATTTTACAGTATACAGAATCAATACACCATCTGTGCTATGCCGAACACGAATATGGATACCCAGTTTTTAGCAGTGTGAGACCTCAAACTTAACACTAAGCCACTTGGGGGAACACCAATTGTTGAAAAAACGTTTGAGTGCTGAAAACAGACAACCATCTGTCTTTATTGTTCATATACACATAAACTCGTGGCGGGTGTAAATTAAACATTCCAAATTAATTCGTTGATAAACGCGAGTTATCTTAAAACGGTTACTAGTCTATAATTACAGCAAAAGATTGAACCAATTAGCATTTATTTACATTTTGTAGCCATAACGTTTCAGAAATCAACCGATATTTAGTATAGATATAACATGCGTATATGGTACACATATTTTCATACAACGCGACTCGTTTTAGCAACCCCCCCCCCCCAACGAGAATTTCGTGTATCTCTCTCCTCCTACTCTGTTAATTAAAATCAGTTTTCTTGGAGTGGAGAAGAAAAAAAAACACAAATATTTTGTTTCATGTTCATTTTATTTTCAATTATTGTCAATATTATTGTCTCTCGTGTAATTTTTTATTAATTTCGCAAATTGGTTTTATGAGTTGTTGTCCTAGGATTGATGACCAGTAATCTGGGATTGACAAATTTGAAACGAATGCCATCTCAAGTCATGCTCAGTCATCCTACGAAGAGGAAATATCTGTCCATGATGAGCCAGATGATGAAATGCTGGAGTTAAAGGTGGAAGACAGCTCCATCAATCGACTGAGCCCAGCCAATGGCATTCCCATCGATATGAGTGAAATGAGTTGATCATCAAAAACTAAGAAGCTGGATTTAACATACGTAATACCTAGTAAATAATTAATTTGCACAACTGAAAACGATAGCTACGAGTTAAAAAACTCAGTTGAAAGGGCATTCCAACTACTGAATGATATTTCAATGTACAATATATGTACTATATTGTGTGATTATCATTTAATCATAAATAGTTAGAGGTGATCTTTGCTTTTTAAGCTATGAGCTGATGTTCACAGAACACTATATGCACTAAATTGGCTATTATACGCTTGATTATCACATAGTTAGGATGGTTTATTATCATATGATTAATAGGATTGAAATGGCTTTATTGACATTTTTCTCTATAGGAAATATCTGCCAGACATCTGGTTAATTATCTTAAGCTGCAATGCTTCTGTGATTCAAATATAAAGGACTAAAAGGGCATTGCACCCTTGCTTTCCAACATACTGAGTGGATTTTCTGATGTAAAATGTCATCCAACATTTCAAGAAAATCACTCGCCTAATCTAGACACAGCATGATGCTTGGTACACGTTAGATTCTTCTCAGTACACCTGAAGGAGTATGATTATTGTACATGCAATTGGAAAAGTAACCAGAGAAGGTTAGCAAAGTAAATTGTAATATTATGGAAACCTATTTCCTTATCCAGCTGCTTGAGGTATGTGATGGTTGAACTGATAGGTTGTTCACTTGTATAATTTTTCCAGATGGAGATATTTCTTCATTATATTGTGTATTGCTGTCTGTGATGTGTGGATACCTTTTGCATTGACTCTGCATTCGAAAGTTCACAACTATTACAAGAAAATGAAAATATAGTTGGGGAACGACCTGTTGCAGGTCTCTTTCTTGGTGGTCCTGATTTCCCCACTGATCCATATTTTTTCTTGTTCTACAATTCCATTAAGTATAAAAGATATTCCCATTTTATAAATTATAAATCCCCAATCTAAATACATAAATCGGAGTATAAAAATATTATACTTCACATACCCTTCACAAGGAGCGAATATTTTTTGGTAGTATGACTACCTATGCCACATCAAACAATATCAAAAATGATACAGGTTGTTATTTTGCGACTTTATATCGGCAGTTGATATCACGTGACTTGCTTATTCAAAATTGTTTTAATATAATGCACACAGTCCTGTATGATCATCTTATTGCGTTATTCAATTATGTGCAATACTAATAGCTGAACATCTATAATCATGATAAATAATTTTGTCCAGGATGACAACCACATCTTCTTTACATCAGCTTTGGTGATGATAATATTTTTATTGTTTTATAATTGTCTAAGGGTTGTGAATTAATACTTAGATTCAAGATGATTTATTGTTTATTTGTTTTGGGCTCAATTAATAAAGAAAGAACACAATAAATATCACAGTTTTGTGAGGTTTGTTTTGCACCACTGGTTATTTGATATTTGCAGCTGTAAGAATCAATAGTTTTTATACTACTGCAGGAATGTATCACGAGGTTTGTTTTTTGGGCCTTGAAATAGATAAGCTAAAAAATCACCGAGTATCCACTTACCTAATTGTCAAGATTTTTCAAAGAGCATTTGACACCTGACCATCTTATCAGCACGTATTTCTGATAGATACTCACTTCAATACACATCTGCCTATGAGATTTGCATGCTACTTAGACTTAACTTAACTTCCACCTAAAATTCATGTTTTAAATGTGAACCATACAAATGCTTGATAACAAAATGAGGGTGACATCAACTCCTTACACAGTGACTTCCATAAACACTTGCACTCGAAACAATTTTACTCTTAGACAAGGTGAGAATAAAGTGCACCAGAAGTGGGGAGGACAGGTGAAATGCTGTACAAAAGTGACTATCTATCAGAAATACATTTTCAAGTGAGGAAAATGTTAACTTCCAAAATAATACATCGCCTCCTCACACAGTTAAAATCCCACATTGAAATGGTGGAGGGGCTAGTGCAAATATGAGACCTTCATAAAAATGCCTAAAGAGAAAGCCCAATGGCAAGGGCTCCATAGGAGCACATTTGTGGGATACCACATTTTGTCTCGACCAGGGTATACAATCTGCCTTCAAGGAAACAGAGGGAGAAGCAAAAGAACCTCCACGTGTTACAGGAATGGAGAAATTTTAACATGTCTATCTGAGCATCTGCACAAGTGGTCGGCAAAACAAGAAGTGTAGTGTGGTTAGGATGTGATAATACCATACAATATGTGTCACACTTCAACTCAACTGGACAGATAAATACGGGATTAGGAATCCATACTGCTTCAGTATGAGAACGCTCTACTTATTTGAGGGATGATCCACTCTACACAGACAGTGTCACCACTGCCCTACTTCCCACCAATACTGTGCACAATCAATGAAGAACTCTACAAGGTTCACTACTTCAGCAGCTAGGAACTGGTAAGTGGCAAGGATCTCTTATGCTTTACTTAAAGACGGGTAGAATTTGCATTGGATCGAGCACTTGAGTAAGTTTGATACCACAAAGATGCTTCGAAGGGTCTTACAGAACACGTTATCTCAACAGCAAGTGCTGGTAGATAAAATGCAGATGGGCTGAGCACTTTCTGTTACCCCTGGCCTAATGTGGATTTTGGGAAATAATCATACCTTAAGAGACAACACCAGACACCTGGTGGGATCTTATAAAATGGAAAGGATAATAAAAAGAAAATGTATTTATCCCTCTCAAAAACAGTGTGTAGACTGAAGATAGTGACTGGGGAGGGGTGGAGGAGAGTCAGATTCCAACAGGAGATGAAACAACCAGATGATGAAGATATGAGAGACGAACGTATGGAGATTTGTCCACATGCCAGCCTGAAGAATTTCGTCCAAGGATCAGAGAAAATGAGATGCAAGAGAATGAGATGGATGACAAAGTTAGTGTGACAAAATGTGAAATAGCCTACGAGCATCAATATGCAGGGAAGAATACGCTAGCCAATAAGAGTGGAAGGCGAGAAGTCCCTGGATGAAGATGTGTCTCAAAACAGAAACAACCGATGGCGAGGAGCCCCCCCCCCCAAAAAAAAAGAGAAATTCATGCAAATTAATACTGAACAGCTTGAACTAGACACAGAAAATAGTCTGGGTCTGAAAAGGTATAGTTATGAGGGGGTTTGGTGAAAAGGGAAGGATAAGAACAAAGTGGAGATGTCAGGAGACTAAACCTCCTGGTGATAACATGAAAGGTCAAATGTAGTTGCAAAAGCCATCCAATAACCAGCTATGGGGACTGACAATCCATGGTCGAACAACAATATGAAAACGACAAAAAAGGAGAGAAGTGGTAGATGGACCAGTGTTGAAAAACAAGCCACTTCAATTGATAGACGACAAAGTTGAAGAATGACAGGAATGGGATAATAAGAAGGCTACACAATCAAAGTCCAGCCACGAGGTTGATGGACTGGAAAATCCCACACAATAAAATGAAGGGGTGACTCCCCTGAAGGAGACATGTGATTGGAGCAAGAAAGAGGTGGAATGGCACAGAGGAAGAAGGGGCTGGATGCCAATTGATAAAGCAAAGGAAACAAGGATTGTGCAGACCAAAGAGGTTCCACCAACAGGACCAAACAAGGAGTGTCACATATCAAGGTGAGGACACGAGAGAGGAGAAAAAAAGACAGGCATATGGGAAAAGATGAGACCAGCCCTAACTGAGATGATCAACCACCAGAACTGAAGGTTGAAGAACTGGGGACTAGAAAAGTGGAAGTTTGATGCTGAGAGACGTCGCAAAGGTATCGATTAAGGGTGTGCCCACCTGAAAGCAAACCCAATGAAAAACCTGAGGGCAGATAGTCTACTCCATGGGTAGAATATGGACCTGATCCACAACCAGATTCAGAAACCCCAGCACACGACAAGCTATAAAATGATCTCGATGTGGATGTGCCCAAAATAGTAAATACATTGCTCAGGAACAAAGAGTCCTGGAACAGGTACTCTCCTGATGGTTCATATAAGAAACAACTGTAGAATTGTCAGTGTGGATCATGACTAACTAATCCACGAGAACAGGAAGGAAATGGGAACATGCGCAATGA